AAATATGAAAAAAACAACTGAATATGTCTTAATTAGGTGCTCAAATATGGCAAATGAGATTATAATGGACTATTAAAATTCATTACCATTGGGAAGTATAATTCTTTAAATTAAAGTGGGTTAGACCCTCTAAATCATCCTCCAGTAAAGGATTTTAAATGTTCAGTGTTATTAGCATTCCCTAAGGTAGGTATCAGCATTTAATGTTGTCTCTCTTAAAGCCGTTATAACATTCTCAGTCTTAATCCACTCTTAAGACTTTCTTAAGCTTTCCTTACCTCCCTCCCACTATACCATCAACACATGCATTCATCACCCAGCTTCTATCCTAAAACTTCTTCAAAGTCTCCAAAACAAAGGTATGCCACACAATTTGGTTTCACTTTTACACATTAAATATCTGGATGATATTTTTATCAGCTGCTTTACACAAAATGTTTCACTGTTTATGTTTCAGATAAAAGGAGTGAAAATGTGATAGTTAAATGTACAACTAATGTAGCAGAGTTTGATTTTATTACTCTGAATAGTTTCTTCCTTCCTAGGGAGGTGTTCCGGGCATGTCCCACCAGGAGGAGGCCCCGGGGAAGACCCAGGACACGCTGGAGGGACTATGTCTCTCTCTTTGCTTAGACTGCTGCCACCGCCACCTGGTCCCGGATAAGCGGAGGAAAATGGATGGAATGGATGAATAGTTTCTTTGACATGCACTGTCTGGATGTTAACATGCATTTATCACATTGCTAATGTGCTTATTTGCAGTGAGGAAAGTGGAGATTATAAAGGGCAGTTTTAAACAAACTAAACTTTGGACTTTAACACCTAATTTCACAGGATAAGTGAACATTTTAACCTGCTTGTGGAGCTAAGAAAAATCAGGAGATCACCACATTCATTAGGATTCATCGACTCAGAACCATAAACATCTATAAGGAATTTCCTGATAATCAATGCAACAGTTGATGAGATATTTCAGTTTGTACCAAACTGGTAGATCAACTGGACGACCAGCAGACAGGCACCATCCTTCCTACAGCCACGCCGCTAGCATGGCTAAAAATGATAATATTTCTGATTCTGAACATGTTGTTTTCTTCAACTGAATTTTTACTTCAGAAAAATCTGAGCAAACTGTGTGAATGATTCTTGGCCAGCTGTTGCTGTAACTGCTACAGACTCGAACAATCAAATGGGAATGCTTGCCAGGATCAGAGAGGACACTAATATCTTGGTGAAATGTGGATTTATGTTGTGATATGTCTGTCTTGTCCTCCCATTTTCACTGTCTTTCATCTAGTTTAGCACACCTTTTCCCCCCTGTCAGCCCAGCGGTATCCCACCAGGTCTCACAGTAGATACTGTATTTGCTAATAGTAGATACATAACTGTACTTCTTACATATGATGATAAACTTTCTGCTCTCTTCTTTCATCCATCCTTGTGTCTCTGTCATTCTATTACCCTTCTCTCTACTCTCTTTCATGTTTTGGAGCCTCGCTGTCTATTCATGGCTCCATTTAATTCCTCCCCTTTCATCTCATCTCTTTTCTAGCTCACGTCTACCGCCCTGTCCTCTCTCCATCAATTCATTCATCCTTTTCCCATGCTCATCAACATTCCATCCACAAAGACTCCTCAAGTCTCGTAAGAGCTGCCGGGAATTATTTACTGCTTAATGGCGTTCAGCATCTCACCCCAGCCCAGTGGTGCTTTGCTTTAGTTATTGATTTTCATTCTTTTTGTCAGATGGCATGAATGTGTGTCTGTGTGCAGGAGAACCACATAGCAAAACATATAAAGCCATAGGATGCCCTGCATATTCAAGCTGATGGTAAAATGAGCTGCAGATTGAAAGATAAACAAATTTGATATTTTAAAGGATAATTGGCCATTACTGTCTACTACTTTGTTTATTGCCTCTGCTTCTATGATACTGTATGTGCATTATGTCTATGTGGGTATGTGTGTGTGTGCATACACCATCTTCTACCAGTGACTACTGATCAATTGCTTCTGAGCAGTGAGAGTTAATTTTCTTTAGTCAGCACAGGCACCCCCAGGAATGTGTACTCTCCCCGCTACTCTTCTCCCTTTACGCCAAAGACTGCACTTCAGGGGCCAGATGACACAATGGTCATCAGTCTCATGAACAGCTTGAACAGCTGGCCCTGGGGTGTGCTTGCAACAACCTGAACACACTTCATAAGAGTGGAAATAACAGTGGAATTCATGAGGAGCCTCCCATACCTTACTCCACCTCACCATTTTCAGCAGCACTGTATCAACAAGTTCCACGGCTCCACTATCTCCTAGGATCTGACGTGGACACCCAACATCAGCACCAGCACCAAGAAGGCACAGCAGAGGATATAGCTCCTGTGGCAGCTCGGGAAATTCAGCCTGGCCCATGAGCTGATACAGTACTACAGAGCAATCACTGAATCTGTTCTCTGCACATCCATCACTGTCTGGTATGGTTCAGCAACCAAACAGGACAGACTCCAGCGATGCCAGCCTGCCCTCCATGGAGGCCCTGTACACTTCACAGGTCAAGGGGAGAGCAAAGACAACTTCTGAAGACCTCTCACATCCTGGACACAAAATGTTTGAACTTCTCCCCTGTGGACGGCGCTACAGAACAGCCAGATACAAAAACAGTTTCTTTTCCTGTGCCATCACTCTTATGAACAGCTAATGTCCACCCTGCACAAAATGTGCTATTACAAAAATAAAACAGGGTTCACTTGTGACCAATTTGTGCATCCATCCATCCATTTTCCTCCGCTTATCCGGGACCGCATGCACTGGGGCATTTTGCAGCCACACTCGGCTGCAAAATGCCCCAGTGCATGCTATAGGTTCTGGTTTGCTGG